TCTTTTTGTTTAGACAGAAAAGAGGGGATGATGGGGGAAGTCCTGTGTATATGTCAATAAAGCACTGTTGGCCAACAGGGAAGCAAGATAGGTGGGACTAGGAGTCCAGGAGGACTCTGGGTAGGAGAAACACAGGAAGTCAAGATGTAACTGCCATAGGGATAAGAAGCCCGGAAAGTTCTCCGGTAAGAGAAATACTTAGATTAACAATTATGGGATAGCCGGGTGTTGGTGGCACATGCCTTTAATCCCAGCACTCGGGAGGCAGAGGCAGGCGGATCTCTGTGAGTTCGAGGCCAGTCTGGTCTACAGAGCGAGTTCCAGGACAGCCTCAGAAACAAAACAGAGAAATCCTGTCTTGAAAAAAACAAACAAACAAAAAAACAAACAATTATGGGATAAATACTTGAGTCAGAGCTAGCCAGTAAGAAACAAGCAAGGCCAACAGCTTCATAATTAATATAGCCTCCTGTGTGTTTATTTGGGACTGATGTGGCTCTGGAACCAGGCTGGCGGGAAGGCTTCACTTTACATGAAAGACCCTTCAGTCTTTCTCTCAGGACCCTTGCCCCCAAAGACCACCAGGGAGCCGAAATTCACTGCAAAACGCAAGAGGATTTTTATTAATCCGGTGCACCGGGGTTAAGCAGCCTTGGGAAGGAGTGAGCCCCGAGCACAAATTACAGAAACTTTTTAAAGCCTAAAACTGCAAACAGGGTGGTGGGGGTATGAGGAGAGTTTGGAAGTTGGTGCCAGACCTTCATGAATCACGTATGCTTGTGGCTGTCTGGCTGACTGGCTCGTTATCTGTCTCAGGCAACGTCTGTGCCCTGGCTGAGCTTTGTGACTGGCCTGGAACCTTGACATCTGGGGAATGTTCCCAAGTCCTTGAGGACTGAGGTCTGGGAAATATTTTCAAGTCCTTGAGGACCACCAGGGGAAGATGTCTAAGTGTAGCTGCTCACATCCAAGGACGGGACAGTTTAGTAATTTCCCAACTATTGGGGGGCTAACTGTTGGGGCTCTTCAAGACCACTTGCACATTGGAACATGGAACCTAAATCTGTGCTCATGAAATGTGGTTAGTCAGAATAAATTACCTCTTATTCCCCTTGAGGATGAGAGTTGTAGTGGTTTATTTATCTGTTTGTGGAACAGATGGAATCCTTTGGTCTGTCAGTACCCTGTCCACCTGGCTTGGATAAATGTTTCATATCCTTGGGAAAGATCACACGATGGGGATTTTGACTGGAAAAGTTACTGCGCAATGTCTATGCATCAGTGCTTAAGCCTGTTGGGGGCAGAGCCTACCAGGAAGCTTACACAGCACAGTGGAGGAAGCCAGAACCTAAGCAGCATTTGGTCAAAGAGGGGAGAAAGGCTGGGCTTGGTGGCTCACTCCTTTAATCTCAGCACTTGGGAGGCAGGGGCAGGTGGTTCTCAAGTTTGAGGCTGATCTGGTATACAGAGTCAGTTCCAGGAAAGCCAGGGCTGTTACACAGAACAAACAATACCAGAAATACAAGTGGGAGAATGTGGGGGGGGGGTTGGGAGACAAGTACAAGATATAAGTTTTTTAAAGATTTATTTATTTTAAGAATTTATTTATTATGTATACAGCACTTCATGTATGAATGCAGGCCATAAGAGGGCACCAGATCTCATTACAGATGGTTGTGATCCACCATGTGGTTGCTGGGAATTGAACTCAGGACCTCTGGAAGAGCAGCCAGTGCTCTTAACCTCTGAGCCATCTCTCCAGCCCCTATTTATTTATTTATTTATTTATTTATTTATTTATTTATTTATTGGTTTTTCAAGACAGGGTTTCTCTGTATTGTTTTGGAGGCTGTCCAGCAACTCATTCTGTAGGCCAGGCTGGCCTTGAACTCACAGAGATCTGCCTGCCTCTGCCTCCAGAGTGCTAGAATTAAAGGCGTGAGCCACCAACGCCTGGCTATTTATTTATTTGGGTTTTTTTGTTTTTTGAGACAAGGGCTCTCTTTGTATCCCTGGTTATCCTAGAACTCATGAGGTAGGTCATAACTCATAGAGATCTGCCTGCCTCTGCCTTCAAAGTGCTAGGATTAAAGGTGTGTACCACCAGACCTGGCTAAGATTTAGTTTTTTAATTATTTTCTCTTATGTATACATGCATGTTTCTGAGTGTGTGGGTTTTTTTTATTGTTTTGGAGGCTGTCCTGGAACTCACTCTATAGGCCAGGCTGACCTTGAACTCACAAAGATCTGCCTGCCTCTGCCTCCTGAGATTAAGGGCTTTGCCAACAGACCACGTTCCTCATGTATTTTATTTATTAATTAATTAATTAATTAATTAATTAATATATCATTGGTTTCTCAAGACAGGGTTTCTCTGTGTAACCTGATTGTCCTGGTACTAGCTCTGTTGACCAGGCTGGCCTTGAACTGGGAGATGCCCCTCCTGTGCCTCCCAAGTACTGGGATTAAAGGTGTACACCACTGCTGCTGCCATCACCACCTGACCTGGCTATACTCTTTTATTTTATTTTTTTAATTAAGAATTCCATACATGTGGGGTTGGAGAGATGACTCAGAAGTTAAGAGCACTGACTGCTCTTCCACAGGTCCTGAGTTCAATTCCCAGCAACCACATGGTGCTTCACAGCCATCTACAGTGAGATCTGGTGCCCTCCTGGCGTGCAGATGTACATGTTGGCAGAATGTTGTATCCATAATAAATAAATAAAATCTTAAAAAATTCTATACATGCATATGTGTTTTGATGAAGTACACTCTCCATTCCTTCCCCTCCAGCTCCTTCCCTCTCCTCACCACCATTTCCTCCCAATTTTGTGTGTGTGTGTGTGGTTCACTTAGTGCTGCCAGTATGCATGGGTGTGGAATTGTAATGTGCTCTTTCCCGCCAGCTGCCTGAGTCCCACCGCTGTCTCAGTCCCCAAGTAACACGCTATATTAATTATGAAACTGTTGGCCATTTGCTATGGTTTCTTTCTTTTGTTTTTGTTTTGTTTTGGTTTTTTGTTTGTTTTTTGAGACAGTGTTCCTCTGTATTGCTTTAGAGCCTGTTCTGGCACTCACTCTATAGACCAATCTGGCCTTGAACTCAGAGATCCGCCTGCCTCTGCCTCCCGAGTGCTGGGATTAGAGGTGTGTGCCACCATGCCCTGCTGCTATGGTTTCTTAATGGCTAGCTCTGACTTAATTAACCCATAATTATTAATCTATATATTTTCACAAGGACTTATCTTACCGAGAATGCCAGACTTGTGTCCTTTCCTTCAGGACCACATGGCGACTCTCTACTCTTGATTGCATTTTCCAGAACCCTCCTATCTTGCTTCCCTATTGGCCAACAGTGCTTTATTTATCAACCAATACGACAAATATATACACCAAAGAACTTCCCCCATCATGGAACCATTACTAGATTATGGGTCATATGCCTTCTCAGAGGCATATTCTTGAAGAAAGCTGAACCCCTCTTTCCAGCAGCTATCAATAGCCAGTAACTTCCCAGCTATGCTTAAATTTGAGCCCACCTTTTTTGGGGGGGAGGCATTAATACTGAACATCAACGGGTGCAAGAAAAAATAGGTAGTTCAACAGGAACAGAGGCCTCTGGGTTCTAGGTTTCCGAAGGGCAGGAAGTAAGGGGAGAAAGTCACTCAAAGGGCTCTTTCATCAAAGTAGCCAAGAAGGTTCTGGAAAAGGAGAGTCACCTAAGAGGGTTGATCTCAGGCCCAATCAAGGCATAACCTGGTCCTATGAATACTAAAAGCTCTCACAGTGAGCTTCAGAGTTGTGATTGGCCAAGAATCCTGTCATGTGTGGGTCCCTTTCCCGAGTCACATGTTAGTGTTTGAGTAAGCTGTTATACAAATAGACATGTTTGTGCATTTTCACACTGTCAGCACTGTGTAGAAGAGCTTGATGACAGGTGGGTTCTGTAGTACCTTAGCATTAGGTACCACTTTCTCTCTATGGCCCAGGAAAAGGGCTTGCATTCATTGGTGTTTGATTTGATAAGCTCAGGACCTGGCTTCTCATAAAATTTTGAATTGCCCCTTAAGTTTGTACGTGATTTTATTTGCAGAAGTGATTTTTATGAGTCCCTGCTATGTGATAGAGAGATGGTGAGTGTTTACTTGCGCAAGTAAAATGAAGAGACATTCTGTCTCAGTTTGAGGCAAAAATGGTACTTTATAAAATGCTTTATAAGGGTTGGAGAGATGGCTCAGAGGTTAAGAGCACTGGGTGCTCTTCCAGAGGTCCTGAGTTCAATTCCCAGCAACCACATGGTGGCTCACAACCATCTATAATGAGATCTGGAGCCCTCTTCCGGCCTGCAGGTAGAACACTGTATGCATGATAAATAAATAAATCTTTATAAAATGGGACTAGCTCAGGGAACCGCACAGCATTAGGCAATTGTACACAGCATAGTGACTGTGACTTTGCTGCAGGACATAGACTGACCTGCTCCAGTAGTTTACCTTCACTAGGATGTGATGGGGTGGTTGGGGTAAACCATCTTTTTAGGAGCTGCCTCGGGGTCCACATCCAACCTATAAGACAGCACAGCATTCTGGGACTAGAGAGTCATAGGATGGAATGAGTCTTTTGGAGATCTGGGGAGGCACACCGTTAAACACGTTTAACGCGGGGATCAAGGCGACTTTGTGATACACGAAGAGGGTGAGTAGCACATTTCCAGCGACCTCTGCCTTGCTTGAACTGAGACAAACTGGGCCTGACCATCCAGTACTGACGCCATTCAGCAGCTTTCTACCGGCACCCTCTGGGTACCCGGCTCTGTCCAAGAGGAAGCCCTAGAGTCATCGAACCTGAGGGACCGAAAAGCTAATCAATACGAAAGGTACACGGGGCACGCGCGACGACTTAGCTGCGCAGCAGGAAGACCCTCGAGTACATCAAAGCAGACCACTCCCTGTGCGCATGCTCCAGGCCGGCACGCCCCTGGCGCGGCGCTGAGCGACGTCACTGGCCTGCGCCAGCAGAAAGGGCGCTGTGCGTTGCACGTGAGCGAGGGCGCGGGCGGGCCCATGGCGAGCTCCGCGGGGCTGGCGCTGTGCGGCCAAACGCTGGTGGTGCGGGGCGGCAGCAGATTCCTGGCCATCTCCACTGCAAGCAGGTAAGAGGCCCCGGCCGATGGCGGCTGCCTCACCGCAGAGCCTGACCGCCGCTGTCCCGTATGAGGAGGCCTCCTCCCTATTCCCTGTCCTCGGAGTCCCCTCACTCGGACCCAGCTCCCCACGACCTGCACGGCGGGTCTGGGGCGCTCTCTGCGTTTGGAGTCGGGGCACTTCCGGACTTTGCGGCGCCTGCGCGTCGTCGTCGGGAGGGCCGAGTCACGTGGGTGTCGCGTAGGCCAGACCCCGGGCGGCGGTGCTGCAGACTGATGCGCTAGGAAACCTCCCCTATGAGATCGGTGTGTTGGCGAACCCTGCTGGCTCTCACTGAGCACAGACGTGCTTCCTGCCCCTTGCCTGTGTCCAGCAATCCGCTCTAGTTGCTCCTCGGGGTTTTTAGTTTTTTTTAACCCCTCCCAGACCCAGGATGCACGCAGAGCCTGAAGTGTGGGCATCTCCCTAGAAGTCCTTAACAATAATGGTTTTGCTTTACGCTGTTTCCTTAGTGGTAGGTCAAAGGATGCTTAACTCAAGTGAGTGTGGAGCAAGTAGTTGTGACCCAGGAACCGGAGGACTCAGTGGCAGTCCGTTTTGGCTTCTTTTTCTTCCCCCACTTAGTTTTTGTTACATTTGAAGATTAGGAGTGTCGAATGCTATGGCCAGCAAGGTTTCAGACTTGGAAAATGACTTTTGTTTTTGTTTTTCGAGTCAGGGTTTCTCTGTATTGTTTTGGAGGAGAGATCTGCCTGCCTTTGCCTTCCAAGTGCTAGGATTAAAGGTGTGTGCCACCACACCTGGCTAAGATTTAGTTTAATTATTTTCTCTTATGTATACATGCATGTTTCTGATTGTGTGGTTTTTTTGTTTTGTTTTGTTTTTGTTTTGGAGGCTGTCCTGGAACTTGCTCTGTAGACCAGGCTGGCCTCGGCCTCGAACTCACAGTGATCCACCTGCCTCTGCCTCCCGAGTGCTGGGATTAAAGGCATGTGCTACCAACGCCCGGCCATGACTTTTCTTTTTGCAGTTCAGTGTTTAATTGGAAGTCTTTGGTGCAGCCACTTTATAGGCTATCAGTAGTACAAGGTGCTTTAATGTGCTAGGGTCCGGGTCAGAGCAACTGAAGGGAGCTTAGGCTCTAATAGGGAGAGTGGGTGATTCCTGTATGAGAGTAGGTGCCTGAGGCTTGTGGGGCTTTTTCCCCAGCAGGTGAGACACGTTTCAGAGCCATGTAAGGACAGCCTCGGTTGTTTTCAATTTGGGAGCAGAGTCCAGTTGGAAAAAAATATCAGAGCATACTTTTTGGGAAGAAGAGTCCGTTACTCCAGGCGCGCGCTGCCGTGCCAGGTGGACCTGACTTGGAACAGAAACATGCTGGCTGTTCATGATGCCACCTATGAGGGGGCTAAGCAGTTGACAATTCTTGGCTCTTCTGTCATGGAGAAGGCCCGTAATTCAGTGACGATGAAATGTTGTCCTAGAGTGACAAGAAACAGCCCCGTGTGTTGGTAAGTTCTCACTCCTGTTTCTGCCTCTAGTGACGATGACTGTGCCGTCTTCACGTACGACTGCAGTGCTGCGGAGAAGAAGCCCTCGCCAGAAGATAAAGGGTGAGGTGGTGGGGAAGCATGCTCCCTAGAATGATGAGACCAGGGAGCCAGGACAGGACTTTCTGAAGTTCTAGTTCCTGTTACCTAGTTGTGGGGCGAGGCTAAGTTGCTTTTCAGAAAAAAAACATGGGAACAGTTTTAAATTTAGAATGCTAAGGACTTTAGTGTCCTCAGTAATCATTTTTGTCACTGGCCCCTTAAAATAATAGGGACCATATCAATTGCATTGAGAGCAGGTGTGGGGAATTAGCTAATTGAAAGGGACACACACAGCAGTGTGTGATTGTTTTGTGTGGTAGCTAGGTCTTGTGACTCAGTTTGTTAGTAATATTATTGGTCCCTGCCTTGGATTAGTCCATGTGATCGCTGAGAGTCCTTCCAGCGTACACTGGATGTTAGTGTATTTGCAGAGAGATGCTATTGAGTTGGGTTTCACGCTTGTAAAATTAGAGCTGTTCTCTGAATTTCCCCTTTTAGTTTTGTCATTATGCTCTGACTACATGCACTGCTTGACCAAGCATCTTCTGTCTTACCTGTGTTAGAATGGACAATCCTGGCAACTCAGGTGATGCCTAATTGCTTTCCTTTCTCCCCTTCCCTTCTCCAGGGAGGACGGACAGCCCACAGACAAGGGGAGTGACACGATTCTGGCGTCCACCTTCTCCAAGTCTGGCAGCTATTTTGCTTTAACTGATGACAGTAAGCGTCTGATTCTTTTCCGTACAAAACCATGGCAATGTCTGAGTGTCAGGTATGAAATGCTCACATTGAGTCATTAAGATGTCCTATGCACTCCTTGTACTTGCATGTCATTCATCATCAGTAGTGACAGTAACCGTTGTAGTACGTGCCAGCTGTGTGTGAGACACTGATTTCAGAGCTGTGCTTGTGTTAACTGACTGAATCCTACTGTTCCTCCCACATTGGGTGGCGTAGGGTTAAGTAGCCAGTTTCAGGCCATGGAGCTTGGAAAGGCAGAGCCAGGCACGTAGCTGCTCCCTTGGCCGCAGTGTTGGTTCTCTGTGTACTGTGCCGTCCTGCTGGGCAGGACTGTTAGTTCACACTCTGAGAGCATCAGGGCTTTGGGTAAGTGGAAGTGGCACATTTGTAAGCTAGCTGGTGGGCTACATCCTTTTGTGTCTGAGAAGATATAGCACAGGCTAGGTGTAGGGCGAGACTAGCAACTGGGCAGGATTGCAGGTGGGTGTTCTGGTCCTCTCTCCCAGCACCACTTCTTCCTCCTCTCAGACTGTAACTGTCATTTCTGAAGGCGAGGTTCAGGGAGAGAAATGGGCCTGTGGTTATGGGGGAGTTAATGTGGTGATGTGGAGGAGGAGGGGCTGTGAATCTGTTTCCAGAGATGCTGCTTTTCTCTGTGCCACCTTGTCCTCCAGAGTGGAGGCGGTATCACCGTGGCACGCAGTGCTGGCAGATTACATTTTGTTGGCTGGGACAACCTTCTAATACAGATGCTGTGGGGCTCCTGAATCCGATTCTTCTGTGGCAGCAGCTCATGGAGTGGAGTCAGCCAAGGCCTCGCTTGTCCCGTGGTGGGCTCCCCTCTTCCCCCAGCTGCTAGTGGAGCTGTGCTTGATTTTATCCATCAGTTTTCTAGTTGCTGTTTCAATTCCCCAACAAAAGCAACTTAAGGAAGGAGGGCTTATTCTGGCTGGTTTTCCGGGAATGTGCTGTTGTGACAGGCATGGTGCTGGTAATGTCAGGGATGTGTTGATTGGGACAGGAAAGGCATGTGAGCAGAGTTCACGGTGTTGTTCACTCACCTGCTGGTTTGTTAAGATTCAGAAAGCAGCCGGGCGTTGGTGGTGCACGCCTTTAATCCCAGCACTTGGGAGGCAGAGGCAGGCGGATCTCTGTGAGTTCGAGGCCAGCCTGGTCTACAAGAGCTAGTTCCAGGACAGCCTCCAAAGCCACAGAGAAACCCTGTCTCGAAAAACAAAAAACAAACAAACAAAAGAAAAAGATTCAGAAAGCAGGGATGGACAGTCTCTCAAGTCCGCCCTGGGGCCTTACCTTTACCAGCTAGGCCCTCTCTTGAAGGTTCTGTGGCCTCTAGAGCCACACCATTGCTTTGGATAAAGTGCTGAAACAGGAGCCTGAGGGACCTGTGTGTTCTCCTCCCCTCAGGTAAGTTGCAGCAACGGCATTTGAACTTCTGGCATTCAGGACTTCAGCTGAGTGTTTAGATTTTTAGTTCATCCTATTTTCTTTTTTCTTTTGGTTTTTTCGAGACAGGGTTTCTCTATTGTTTTGGAGGTTATCCTGGAGCTCTGTAGACCAGGCTGGCCTCGAACTCACAGAGATCCCCCTCCCTCTGCCTCCCTAGTGCTGGGATTAAAGGTGTGTGCCACCAACGCCTGGCCATCCTATTTTCTAAATGAGTAAAAAACCTGGATTCTAGGTGGCATCAAAAGCAAGAACATTCCAGGCGGTGGTGGCACACACCTTTAAACCCAGCACTTGGAAGGCAAATGTGGGTAGATCTCTTGAGTTCAAGGCCAACCTGGTCTACACAGTGATTTCAGGACAGCCAGGTTTGTCACACAGAGAAACCCTGTCTTAAACAAAACAAACCAACCAACTCCCAAAACCACCCCCCCAACCAAAAAAGCAAGAACATCCATTCTGCCCTCTTCCCATCAGCTTAAGAATAGAAGCCTGCATCACTGCCCATCTTTAGATGGCAGTGTGTGTGTGTGTGTGCGCGCGCGCTTTTGCTTCTCAGATGGATAATAGATGTGCTGTTATTAAACAAAAGGACACTCATGTACAGGCTTCCTCGGGCCCTCTCACAGAGGGATGATTCACCAGCAGGAAGTTGTCTTTCTTTTTTTTTTTTTTTTTTTTTTTTTGGTTTTACAAGACAGGGTTTCTCTGTATTGTTTTCGAGGCTGTCGGTACAGCCCAGCCTCGAACTCACAGAGATCCGCCTGCCTCTGCCTTCTGAGTGCTGGGATTAAAGGCGTGTGCCACCACCGCCCCGCTTCTTTTTAAAATTTACTTATTTGTGAGTGTGTGTGTGTGTGAGAGAGTATATACCTACATATGTATACCTGTATATGTACTTGGGTAGTTTTTCCTTCTACCATGGGGTCCTAGGTTAGTACTCAGGTCATCTGGCTTGGCAGCAAGTGTCTTTATTCTGGAACCCACTTAAGGTTGGACATAGAGGGTATGCATCTGTAATCACAGCACTCCAGTAAGACGGGAGGTAAGTACAGGCAAGCCAACCTGGCATACACAGTGGCAAACAATAAGAGATCCTGTTCTAACAAAGTCAAGAAGGCCAAGAGTGCTGCCTGAGTGTGTCCTCTGACCTTCACACGTGTGCCGTGGCACACACATGCTTACATTCACACACAGGAACCCAGACATATGTTCACAAGATTTTTAAAAGAACGTGATGGTGACCCTCCTACAGAGTAAAGGCTCTGGCTGTGCAGATGTAGGCACAAGAATCACCTGGTCACCATGACAAGCACAGGTTCTAATGTGCCAGCCTTGGATGGGATGGTCTGCGATCTGTTTGTGGCTAGAGCCTCCTGGCCTGTACCCTCAGCCCCCAGTATGCGATCTATTCACATAAGCTTACTTGTTTGTAGTGCTTCTGGCTGTGTGGACTGCTCTTGGAGCAGGAGATATAGGCTGGGGGAACTCTCTGACCCTCCCTTTAGATCTGCAGCAGGCCAACAGCACAGCTAGAGGACGTGACAGGGAGACCCAGATGCCTTCAAGGATGGAGGTGTGTGGGAGAAAGACGTGGTTGCTATGGCTGAGAAGGTGCATCTGGTAGTGCAGGCCCTGGGAGCTGCTGTGCTGGGGAGAGCTCACTGGTTGGGCCCACAGTAACGTTCCCGATGGCCCTCTGTTAATGGACATTTTTCTCTTACATTTTGCTACTTCAGAAAGCACCTCAGTGGACAAACAGATGTATTGTTTGCATCTGTGAGTAAATCTGTAAAAGTCACCAAAGTAAATTGCAGGTAAGGGGCTGTACTTGTCATTTAGACTCGCAGTCCCAGAGTGCCCTCCAAAGGTGCTGCATCCGTCTGTTTCTATGTTCCCCTGCTTTAAAAATGTCTCAGATCAGGAAGCAGCACTCTCCATGGCCTCTGCATCAGCTCCTGCCTCCAGGTTCCTGCCCTGACTTAGTGATTCCCTCAGAACTATCACCTGGAAGCATGGGCTGAAATAGACCCTTTCCTTCCCAAGTTGCTTTTAGTCTTGGTGTTTGATCACATCAGTCGTAACCCTAACTAGGGAAAAAATGTCTCTTAGGGCTGTTATGTGCCCCACTGGCATGTGTAAGGCATTGGATTTCATCTCAAGCCCGTTAAGAATCCTTTTGGAAATGCTGTTTTTGTTTTTGTGTGTGTATGTGTCTGCTTGTCTGTCTGTACATTGGTGTGTGTGTGTGTGTGTGGTGCCTGGAGAGGCCAAAAGAGGATGTTAGAAATGGTTGTGAGCCACCATGTGGGCGCTGGGAACTCAGAACTCAGGTCCTTTGCAAGAGCAGCCAGTTCTAACAGCAGAGCTGTTTTCCATGTTTGCATGTGTTTCTCACTATGCAGTATTCTCAGATACTTAATTCTGATAGAAAGATCTCGAGGAGACAGCGGTCTGCACACTGCCTTTGGAGTTTGAGTTCATGATGTTAGTGGGGCAGGGTAATATCCTTACTTTTTTCTGTGTGGTGGGAGGTCTGACAGCAGGGTATGGGGGGGATGAGCGTGAGGAGGGAAAGAGTAGGGGAGTTGGTTTGATCGTTGTAGCGGGAGGCATATGGGAGTGGGGTGCTCACTCCCCTTCACACTGGAGGCCGCCACACTCCAGTCTGGTGGCTTTGCTTTGTGGGCACAGATCTTGGGATCTGATGCACTGCTCCCTTGAGGAACACTACCTTTACACCCATGACGTGCAATCTGGTTCCAGCATTGCATGTACTGGACTTTGTGTCACATACCATTGGGGACCCCAGGCTTCTCCCTGATTGAGACCAGTTTGGGGACTGTCTGACTGCTGCCTTCATTTTTTTCTCTCGAGACAGGGTTTCTCTGTGTAGCTCTGACTGTCCTGATATTTACCTGTAGACGAGGCTGGCACCGAACTCATAGATCTGCCTGCCTCTGCCTCCCCAGTGCTGGGACTAAAGGTGTGAGCCACCATTGCCTGGCCCCCTGCCTTCAGTCTTAATGTGGGAGAATTGTGGGTGACACTAAATCTTTTTCAGATGTAATTCAGAGTGATAGGACCACAGAAACCCACTTGGGTGGGTTACGAGGCCCTTATTGGCCTTTTGTGCTGGAGGTCATAGGTGCCAGCCAAATGTGGAGGGACAGATGGCACCTTTTAGTTTTGACGTGTGATTTTATGAGTGAGAAATCTTGTGTGAAGTCGCGCTATTCCAGAAAGTGTTCTGCAGAAAGCAGTAACAGCACACAGAGAGTGGCTGCGTCTGCTCTGTTGTAGGCTGCCGGGGATGTTAGAGCTACGCACAGACAACTGTGGGACCCTTGATCCCTGGCGGAACCTGAGCAGTGTGGCTCTGAAGGCTGACTGGGGAAAGTGGCCTATGTAAATGGGAGCTTCCAGGCTCAGCAGTGAGATGCTTCGGCAGAGACCAGCTTGTTCCCCGCCTCCCCTGGAACGCACCAGAGAGGAGAGTGCTCATGTTCTCTGGGGTTTGGTGGGGCTACAGTTCATTAGTTACTAGGGTGACCTGCCCTGCACACTGTCCTGTCTGGTGACCTGACTTTGAGCCCTAACTGCAAGCTTGCTACCCACAGCAGACCCCTTCCCGGAGCTGCCTTGATGGTACAGTCCCAGGCTGGTGTTGCAGCATGGACATTCCTGCCTGGAGCTGAGTAGCCACAGTGGGCATGGGAACTCGTACAGGGATCTGATTCAGGGCATATGGGACCCTTGAGTCCTTGTGGTTTGTTGGTTTGTCCTGTTCGCTGTGCAGAGCTGGTGCTTGGCACAGTTGCTCCTTGAGCCCATTAGTATAGTCTCCATTGCCAGGGGGCTCAGGCCATTTGTTTTGAGTCGCTAGCCCCAGAGCCTAATTGTCTTTGTCTTGTTCTCCATTGTTCCCCTCTGGAGCAGCCACTGCAGCTGCACAGCTGAGGCGAGGAGGAACAGCACTGCAGCTGAGTCCTTCCCTTTTCTTGTCCTCACGTTTCAGGTTCTGTTTTGGGCCCATATGGCCATCCTGCTGCAGTGTGTGTGTCCTGTTACGCTCCAGCTGCAGCTTCACAGCAACGGCTCGGGAGAGCAGAGCTGCAGTGATGAGGGTCCTGGCACTGCAGAGAGCAGTGTTAGGGTGTGTGTCCTAGAGAGTGAATGGCAGGTGCAGGATATCTATGTAGTTATGTGGTGAGGAGTTTGGGTGCCCTCCCCTGGTATGGTACCTGGGAGCTTCCTGCCTCTAGGCACAGGCCTCGCAGCAGAGTCACAGGTGGTGAGATGGGGCAGGGTACTGGTGGTCCTGCTGCATGCGGAGACTCAAAGACTGGACTCCAGAGATCATATGCTTTGTGGCATAGCTGGCCCTTGTCTCCTTCATCTGAGCAATGAAGGTTCTTGGGGAGGAACAATTTCCTCATCATTTTATTCTGAGCTTTTCAAATGTAAAACAAAGCTGGGGTGTTTTATAGTAAGCACTCACGAGACCAGCCTGGGACTTTAGTCCTCCTTCCTCAGCCTCCCGGGTGCTGGGATTACGGTGTGTGTCATCATGCCTACCTGTCTTCTTATTTTTACATTTCAGTTTTGTTTTTGAGACAGAGTTTCTGGGTAGCCCTGGCTGTCCTGAAACTCACTGGCCTCAAACTTGGAGATCTGCCTGCTTCTGCCTCTAGAGTGCTAGGATTAAAGGTGTGTGCCACCATGCCCAACAGTGTCTTTCACTTTTTTTTTGAGTGGGAATTATAATAAAAGTTTAATAGGTTGAAGCCTGGCATTGGTGACTCACGCCTTTAATCCCAGCACTTGGATCTCTGTGAGTTCGAGGCCAGCCTGGTCTACAGAGTAAGTTCCAGGACAGCCTCCAAAACAATACAGAGAAACCCTGTCTTGAAAAACCAAAAAGAAAAAAAAAAGTTTAATAGGTTGAAGGTATTGGGTTTTGTTTCAGTTCCTTTGTGTTACTTTATGTTTGGGGCACCACCTTCTGCAGTGCAAGACACTGATTCTGCATGTAGAATAGGTACTTCCAACCTTCAACAGGGTAGTGCCTCAGCTCTTCCTAAATTAGAGCTACTTTTAGTTTAAAAATGTATTGACTAGGATCTAGAGTGATGGCTCAGTGGGACCAGAGGACCTGGGTTTGATTCCCAGAACCCACATGGTAACTCATAACATTCTGTTATTCTTGTGACAGGAGATCTGACACCCTCTTCTGGCCTCTGAGGGCACCATGAATGTATGTGCACAGGCATATGCAAGAAAAAAAATCCATACACACATTAAATGAAATCTTTAAAAAAAAAGTGCATTGACCACCTCAGACTGGAGTATCTGAGACTAACTTCATCTTTGATGTGATCTGAACCACAGCTGAGCAGAGCTGTGTAAGAGAAGACCTGCTTTATAGTCCTGTTGATTACTTGGAGCTGGGTGTAGGGGTACACCTTTGCGCTATGGTAGAGTCAGAGTATTTTACATCGGGGACCGTCTCTCTGGCTCGAGGGTCTGTGGAGGGCCTGTGTGGACTTGGACACTAACCAGCTCAGCTCTCTGGCTCTGCAGGACTGTGGTGCGGAGGTGCACTGCCCTGACTTTCACAGCCTCAGAAGATTGGGTCCTGGTGGCTGACAAGTCTGGAGATGTCTACTCCTTCTCGGTGCAGGAGCCCGATGGATGTGGCAAGCTGGAACTTGGGCACCTCTCCATGCTGCTAGACGTGGTATGAAGGGGACACACACAACACTGTCTGCTCAGCCAGGGCTTGAGAGAGGGCAAAGTGGGGGAAGAGACAGAGAGAGGAAACTGGGGACTCTTTCAGAGCAGGAGACTTTAGAATGGCATTGGCAGGTGAAGTGGGGTTCACTCAGTTCTGGACCACATTCCAGGCAATGTAGGGAGGTGACGAGAACTACCTTGTGTCTTGCCATAGCTTGGCCTATAGTTTCCCCCTCCTAGGGTTCAGCCAGGGCCCTAACTTGCAGCCTGTAGAACTGGGCCAGGCTGAGGTGGGTTGGAAGCAAGGCTGTATGCAGTGCCTGGCACGACTCTGGCTGCTGCTCTGCAATGTGGAGGATGGCAGGGGTGCAGCAGGTATGGCTGGGTGGCATTGGAGTTGGTCTCAGCGTGGCTTTGGCTCTCATTGAAGCTGAGAATGTGAACTAGGCACTGCTGGGGACACTCCCTCTGTCCCCCGCCAGTTCCCATTGCTCTGCCAAGCTGTACTGCAGCTCCCTTCAGAATCTAAGCATTCTTGTGGTACTTTGCAAGGCCACCCAGTGAGTGACTGTCCTTCTGCTGACCCCTGGTGATATAGGCTGTGAGTCCTGATGACCAACTTGTGCTCACTTCGGATCGGGATGAGAAGATCCGGGTCAGCTGGGCTGCTGCTCCGCACAGCATCGAGGCTTTCTGCTTGGGACACACAGAGTAAGTGCAGACCTGATCTCTCCTCAGTCAGGGAAGAGGGGTCTAATGGGTGAGGGTGGGTCAGGGCCCTGATAGCTGTTGGTAGGGACCGTATGCTGAGAGCTATGTAGGCTCAGAAGACCCTGCCAGGCTTTCAGGTGTGACAGCTGCAGACATCTAGGGCTGTAGGCCATATGAAGCAGTTGCTCTGAGCTGACCTGGGCTGTTGCTCCTCAGTCCTTTTCTACACCCCTTCCAGGCCTGGTGACCAGCTCCTGGTAGCTGGAAGCAGTCAGGAGACTGAGGTGCATCCTTTAGGCACTTGGGCTTTCGGGAGTTAAATGCCTGGGTCCCCAGGTTTGTCTCTGCTGGCAGGTGAGCTCTAGCTGGGAGGCATTGGTGAATAGTGTGCTGTTCCGAAGGGAAAGGGCATACATAACTGCAGACCGTGGAGAACCTGAAGGACTTCAATTCAATTCTGAGCTGGCTCTTGGCTTTTTGAGTGGGATTCAGAAGTTCACCTTGGAGAGAAGACTGGTGTCACTCAGCTTGTGCCTTGCCACAGCTTAGTTGGGCTTTTAGTTGTCTTGTGCTCCGGGTCTTGAGTTTGTTACCCTCGGTCGTGCCCTTATCGCCGTGTCTCGGTGACTTGGTGAATTCTGAGCTCAGCTCAGCGGGCATGCACTCCTGCTTCAGGATCTTGACACGTGCTAATTCTTGGGACAGGAGGGTGCGTGGGAGGCAGCCCTCTGCTTCTCTTCCCCACTTCCTCCGGGGTGCTGCCTGCTTCCTTGGGAGGCTTCCCCTCCACCCTCTGCAGGAATCTGTCACTTGAATACCATGACTTCAGTGTGAACAGGTCCTCACCCTCTGCAGGAATCTGTCACTTGAATACCATGACTTCAGTGTGAACAGGTCCTGTTAGCCTTTTGGGTTTCTGCAAGGCCAGAGATGGAAGGAACCGTTCTGTGGCCTTTTCTTCTATGATGATTGTTCAGGCTTATGGAGACTAGTTCCCACTTAACCTGCTGAAAACTTGGGTGACTTGGGCCTGTAGAGTCCTCACAGGTTTATTCTTCTTAGATGACCTAAGACTAGAACTTGGCACCCTAAGAGATGGCAACTGTTGGTCAAAAGCCAGGCCTGGGTCAGGGTGGTGGGGATGAAGGGAGCCATCTGGGCCAAGGAGTCCTGGGTTTTGTGAATGATACCTTGAGGTCTCTGTTAAGAGTTGGTAGAAGAGTAATTTTGCTGCCTGGCAGGCACTCTAGACATGTTCATGGCCAGAAGGACTGCAGGGTAGTTGTGGGAATTCCTGGAGAGCCAACTTGCTCAGGTGCACTTCCAGTGGCAGTATGGGTGGCAGAGTGGTTGTCGCTGTCCTGTACAGTTAGAGGCCATGGAGCTAGGCTGAGATTGGCAGATAGAAGTCTTCGGGTGGGTCCCTTGGGGTCTGCTTCAACTGCAAAGTAGTGTGGTTTTCCTTCTCCCTGTGCTGACCTTGAGTGTAGACATCTTGGATGGAGGCAGGCGTGTGGGACAGTGAGGTAGCATCCCCGTGAAGAGCTGCATATCCTACAGCTGCATATCCAGCAGAACTGGGCCCTGCCGCCCTTGGTCCAGATGAAATGGTGGGGACTCAAAAGTGCATAGGCGTGTTCTCAGACCTGCTGGTATGGGTCAGGTCTGTGCTATTTCCCTTTTCTGAGCAGGTGAGAGACTCCTTCCTGTGTTCCTGGTGATTTATCTCTGCTCCCCACAGGTTTGTGAGCCGCATCTTGATTGTGCCCAGTCACCCTGAGCTGCTGCTTTCCTCCTCTGGGGTAAGTGTGCTTGCTGGGGTGGTCACTGCTGGGCAGAAGACAAGGTTACCAGCCTCTTGTCCCCAGCTAGGGTGCCAAGTGTGTCAGTGGGTGGCCACTAGAGGGAGCTTCTTCCTGGCCCAAGAGTGTCCCCTTCCTTCATGGCTGTGTATGTAGTATGTGTGTTCACTTGCCTGGTCCCAGCACAGCAGGTGTCGTAAGTGGGTTAATGGGAGTCTGGCCCTCAGTACTTTACAGAGAGATAAAGGAGCCCTAGACCTCAGTGGGGACGCTTGTCACACCCAGCCATACTCAATGTCCTGTGTTTCCACTCCCGTCCCCCAGCCTTTCTTGCTTATGGGACAGGCCTCTTAAGCCCATATGCTAACCTGTCTGTGTGCACAGGATGGTACCTTGAGACTTTGGGAGTACAGGAGTGGCTGCCAGCTGCAGTGCTGTGACCTGGCCAGCCTACGGGAGCCTGCAGACCACCAAGGCCACAAGGTAACTTCATGCTCGTCTCTGTGCTTGTCTCTGGTAAGGGGGCTCTTGCTAGGCACCTCGTGTTGCCGTGACTGTGGGGAAGACATCTGTGAGAAACATTTCCTTGCTGTCAGTGACGGACTTCTTCCTGTGGGGGAGGAACACACAGGATTTCTAGTTTTGAAGATGCCTGATGACCTGGTGGGAAATAATTCACCTCCAGGCATACATGGACACGAGAAAATGTTGGTAGAGCCTTACCTATGTTCTGTCAGGGTCAGCGGGGGCACCCAGCATTCTCTGTGCTCATGGAGTGCCTCTCTTGGCACCTTCTGTACCCATGCTTCCTCTGGCATCAGGGATGTTCACAGATTGCTCAGTTGTCTGTCTTAAAATTGGGTGGCATGGTGTCTGCCCTCTGCCAGGCCAGCCAGTGAGCCCTAGATGTTTTTTACACATTAAATCTGGGACTCATAGGAGCTGCTTCTGGGCCTATCACCTCCTGTCCTGGGAAGCATGAAAGCCCAGAGGACAGTTGTCTGGTTACAGTCCCTCTTCCCACAGCCCCTGCTTTCCTAACTTTGCCATTATATCCCAGGCCTACAGGGAGAGCCAGGGTCACACACGCTCTGTCTTGTGAGGACAGGGACATTAGCTGCTACCTTCCTCCTACTGATCCCAGAATATTCCTGTGTCCTCTTTGCCCTGCTTTGACATGAGGGAATTGTGATGCCTGTGGCCTTCTCCTCTGGTGACCTGAGAAGGGCATAGGTTACCTGGCAGCAGAGCCTGGTTAAGTAGCTGCTTTTTCTTGCAGGGGTTGGCTGCATCCAGGATTGCATTCTGGAGACAAGAGAGCTGTGTGGTGCTTCTGTGTGAGTGGTAAGACACAGGTTTCACTGTCGTGGCCTATAGCGGTCTCTAAGTGATGAAAATGTGGGCAGCTGTTAACTCTGCTTATTACTCTTCAGGGAGGGGGCTGGGGTCCTTTAATCTGCCTCTTCTACTTAATTGGCTTAAAGGGTAGCTGGAAGCTCATATGTATGACGGAACAGTTGTAGGAGATTCCATAGGCCAATTCCACTCAGAATTGATCCTGCTGGAATATGCTCAAGAGTTGGCACCACCCAGCAGATTGAGGGACAGGGTGTGTAATTGGGGGTTCCTTGTGCCCTTTCTCAGTGCCAGGGTAGATGTCTAGTGCTCTGCCTTTTCCTATGTAGCTCTCAGCTCTCCCTAGAAATGAGAATATAGGTTTAGAGAGGAGAAAGAGGCTCCTCAGATGCTGGCCTCTTTCTACCAGTGGTTCTCAACCTTCCTAATGCTACTTCATAACTGTAATTTTACTACTGTTGTGAATCGTAAAGAAGCGGGTTTTCCGAGGGTCTCAGGCGGTCATTTGATCCCCCAAGGGGTAACTGGTCTATACACTGAGGGTGGGGTGGCCACTTCACTCTTTGTCCCGTATTGGTTAGTTCTTGCTGTAAAATTCAAGACAGCAAACACACACTGCCTCACAGGGTTTGGGTAACTCAGCTGGCTTTTGGCTCAGGGTCTTGAAGGTGGTAGAGGCAGGCCTGGTGCTAAGCTGTGCTGTGTGGAATGCCTCCGTGGGCCTGCGGTTGCAGTGGTGACCAGTCTCTCTCTCTTGCGAAGCGTTCCTGTGGTCTTCATCTTCCAGCTTGACGCCAGCAAACAGCAGCTGGTGTTCATGCAGCAGCTGACTTTCCCTCATCGCGTGTGGGATGTCGTCTTTGAGGAGTCGCAGGGGCTGTGGGTTCTGCAGGACTGTCGTGATGCTCCCCTAGTGCTCTGGAGGCCCGTGGGTGGTCAGTGGCAGGTGCGTGTGCGCAGCGTTGCTGTGTCCTGGGCTGCTGTTCTGATTGATGGGGTGTGGTGGGGGTGTGGCAGGGCTTGGTAGGTGATTGCTATGGTTTCCTTACAGCCCTGAACCTCAGTTAGATCACATCTAAGTCCTAAGACTGTACGCTGAGGCAGCTGTGACTGGAGGCCTGGTGTAGTGAAGTGACCTGAGCAGGGGTGTTCATTTGCCATTAGCGATGGATCCTTACCTGACAACCCCACCCCATCCTGCTGAAGCCAGCGCTAGGCCTGATGAGGGCGTGCTCTTCTGGTGTGCAGGCCCTGGGCAGGGGCTTTGCTGAGTACTGACGGGGGTGGGGGGGGGGCCAGTGCGGGGACATCCCTGCCAGTCCCATGAGGGGACAGCACCAGGAGCTCTTAGCCAGCTTCGGCCTCCTGTACTCAGCTGCTGGGCTAAAGGCTTTTGTATGACTAGCCCTAGAGATGCTGAGCCTATGCCTGAGGATGGGCCCTGCTGGGCCCCTGCCTGCCATCTCTGGGCTCTGGTTTGGTCTTGACCCTGCTTACTGTCACCTGCAGGCTGTTCCTGAAGGTGCTGTGTCCCGGAGACTCTGCAGCCATCTCCGTGAGAGCTGGGCCATGCTGGAAGGTGAGAATTCTCCTTAGAAGTTAGGGTTCCTAAAGTTTGCAGGATCTGATTTGAAGCCTGCTTTCTAGGGTATTTGCCCTCTGAAGCCTGCAGGCTCACGCGCCACAGGGCAGTCTAGTGGGGCACTTTCTTAGTTGAGATTTCCTTCTTTCACATGACTCCAGCTTGTGTTGAGTTGACATAAAAGTAGCCAAGACAGAGTAGGGAAGGGTTTGTGTCTTCTGGCCCAGTCTAAATCCTGTGTCAGTCCTTCGGGTGGCCTGGGCTGGTCACCCTAGGAACGCCTGACCAGCTTTTTAAGTGTCATGTGGGATGAAGCTCAGAAGGTCAGGGTTGGTGACTGGTGCCTTCCTGCTGAACCCTTTGCTGACCCCACTGCAGTTCCTCAGGCCCTATCTGGGCTGCCCTGGGCCTTGCTCAGTCTGGTTCTGCTGAGGGTTACCTGGTGCAGACTCAGGCCAAAGCCTGCCTTCACTTCTGAGATATTCCACACACAGATGGGGCGTGTGTGCACAGGGCGGGGAGGAGAACCATGGACACTGAGCAGTGGCCTTGGCTGCTAGAGGCCAGGGAACCACACCCACCTCAGGGTAGGGTGACACAGGGGCACTGTCTCTGGCATGCAATGCTGACTGTCCTTGGGGTGTGCCTCACCAGGGTGGGACTGGCTGAGGCTGTGCAAGTAGCACATTAGATTAACAAGGAAGTCGCTGTCACCACCCAGAGCCACATGCTGCTGTCATTCCTGTGGGCATTGTAGGCTGCCTACCTGGTGGTGACTGACTGGCTGGTCTCAGGTTCCCCAGTAGATGGTTGGAGGGTTTGGGCCTCACTTCCGTGCTACCCCTGCTCAGGACCTGCAGACTTTGAGTGAATGAGCAGGAAAGTGCAGACCATATGTCAGCCAAGACCTTGTCCCTCCTCTCCCTCTACCCTTCCCCTTCCCCACACTCCGGTCCAGCCTGAATGTGGATCCCAGGTGGTAAGGTCATGTGAGCCTCAAGGTCTGTGACTCCCGAGGCCATCCTGTGAGAGGAAATAGTGTTGGACCATGCTCCAGGTCACTTCACCTGGCATCTTGTCCTTGTCACAGGCTCTGTGGGTGCAGATGATGCCTTCCGCAGTCTTTACAAGGTCACCTTTGACAACATGACCTCTTATCTGAAGAAGAAGGAAGAGAGAGTACAGCAGCAGCTGAAGAAGCGACGAAGGAGCCCCCTCCCACATTCCCCAGAGCAGACCAAAAAGGCGTCCCCGGGGCAGTCAGCCCTTAGTTGCTGACCTTGGGCTTGGCAGCAGCTCTCCCTTCTCCCTCCTGCCTGGTTCGTCCACAAGGAGGGAGATCACGGCAGCTCAGTCCCTGCCCCTATCTCCACAACCATCTTTGTCACAGAGGACAGCCTCCTGGTTATCTGTGCCTCCTGGTGGCAGGAAGGATGAGGTGTGTTAGCCTAGCTAATGATTCTGCACAGCTGTGTGGCAGCGCCTTCACATTGAAGGACACACTGACCTGCTGCTCCACGTCTGTCTGCCAGTGCCCACAGCGCTGCCTGCAGGTCATCTCTAGGAGTCCCTCGGGCAGGACCTGTGTCCACGCCATTGCTGTGCGCTCTCCAGGGGGAGCCCGGCGTGGCTCACAGGGAGCTGCTTGCTGCTGGCAGATTCAGTTGGTGCCGTTGCTCTGTACTCATGAAGCCACCTGTGGTGAGGGCCTCAGTCTGGGCCACGCAGGGAAGCAGGCATGGTATCGGTGTGGAGCAGGCCTGCTACAGGGCATGTAAGGATACGACCTTGGCCAGGCCTGGATGCACAGGGATGACCTGTGATGTGGGTCCATCGCTTTGAACTCTGCAGAACAAGAACAGCAGGGAATCAGCTGAACACAGCATCAATAAAGACAAACTTTTCATAGCTTTCTACACTGTTGTCAGCGACCTCCAAAGCTGGGTTTTTCTTTTTTGTTGTTTTGTTTTTTTCCTGAGACAGGGTTTCTCTGTAGCTTTGTAGACCAGGCTGGCCTTGAACTTGAAGAGATCAGCTTGCCTCCCTAGTACCGGGATTAAATCCCTATCACCCCCGGCTCCAAAGCTGGTCTTAAGATTCAGCATGTGTATGCTGTTGAGATGACACGGCTCAGTGGTTAGAGAGATGTCATCCAGCTCCACCTACTCTCTGTGCTGGGTCCCAGACCAGCTCCAGTTTCTACAGTCCTGAGCTGTGAAAACACTAAGACCCCACATCACTGGGGCCAGGGACAATTGCAAATGGATGCACAAGATATGCAATGGTGTCACTGGGGCTGTTGGGGTGGGGCATGTGTGACAACATGCCATCAACTGTTACTGCTGTTAGGCTCTGTGACATATCAGAACCATAAGGAAATAGTCACCAGGCTCCCCAATCTCATCTTTCTGACACAAGGACTCCCCATCACTGTCTGTGTGGCTGTTTCAGAGCCTACAAGGCACACCAGGGGCCTTAGATGCCTCTCAGCAACATACACGTCTAGGGGCACATAGCAGCTGAGAGCACACATCTCCACCACAAGCAGGAGGCAGAGAGCCCACTGGGAATGGCAGAAGCCTTTTGAAACCTCAAAGCCCGCACATGTCTTAGTCTTTCCCAAGCATTTCTACTACTGGGACCAAGTATTCAAACACGGGCATTCTCATTCAAACACAGCCCAGCATGTTCGTTTGTCGGTTCTGATCTGGCGTCTGTACTGCCCACCCCACCCCCATTACAATTTACCTTCACTCCTTCCTTCCACTTCCGTTCCTATGGCTGGCTTTGAGAGGTGTTCCCCGTACTTTCCCCCACCTGTTACTGGTTAAATACATCTGGTGGTATTCATAGTTCTGTTTTCATTATAGTGGAAGGTCGTGTGGGCATAGCTGAAGTGCATGTGGGACGCCAGGGTTTCACCTCGTGGATCCATACGTGAAGGTGTCAGGCACAGGGCGCTTGCCAGCTGCTGAGACGCCCCATTCCCTCGTCCCACTGGTGGCCGGACTCACCTCCGCTTACCTCTGAAGCCTGAGATGTACACACTGCACGTGGCTTGGATGCTCCACCTACGAAAACACTAGACTATCCACAGGCACTGGATAGTTTAAAATGTCAGCTAAGAGGAAAGATGCGTTGTGAGTATCCAAGTTCCTGCTGATGGTCCACAGGGAAGAGTTTCTCTGGCCTACAGAGTTATCCATCAATGTCTGCAGGAGATTGAGTCCAGCGCGTCCAGGAGAGCAAGACACCCAATTCTGCAGATGCTCAAGTCCCTTGTGTTAGTCGCCTTTGCAGTAGAACCCCAGGTGCCATCTCTCCTGCACCCTGACCTTGCTTTTGATGCTCAGTGTGAGAGTTCTTTACCCAATCCCAGATCCTGAAGATTTTCTCTGAGTTTTCTAGGAGGCTTCTGGCTTCATTTCTCCTGTAACGCCCCAGTCTCCCCTGATCGGATGCTGTGTGAGCTCTGAGGCTCTACTGTCGTGACTCTGGACACCCCATGTTGAATGGCTTCTCTTAGCGTTCGAGATTGGGAGTTGGCAGTCATTTCTCTCCTCAGGCTTCGCTGCCTTGCTTCTGGCCTGTGGGTGTCATCTCTGACTTCGTTCTCTCAGAGTCTCGCCCTCAGCTCCTGGGCACCGGTCCTGCTCTGCTCTGTTATCCTGGGGATGTCCCTCAAGGTTTGTCCTTTCTTGTAAGCTCAGTGCTGAGCTCTGCCACTAGGAGGAGCTAGAGGCACGACAGGGATGAGGGGGTTCCAGCTTCCAGGTGCTACCTTTTCTGGATTTCTGTGGTATATGCTTGCCTGCATGTGGGGACATTCAGTGACACTCTTCTAGAGTCCAGCAGCACCTGGTCGGTGGCTTCCCAGTGACTTTTCCTGCTTTCAGTAGGGAAAGGTTCCAGTGTGGGCTTTGACAACCCACCATTCTGTGTGACACGGCCACTGCCAGCAAACAGGATCTGCATCTTTGTCTAAGAGAGGAGGCTCAGGGTTCTCAGCATCCAGGCTCAGCACTTCTTTGTGCCTGTCGCCTACCCCGTGGTGGTGGCGGCTACCACTAAGAATACACACAGCTGGGAGCTGGAGAGATGGCTCAGCAGTTAGGAGCACTGCCTGTTCTTCCAAAGGTTCTGAGTTCAAGTCCCAGAAACCACATGGTGGCTCACAACCATCTGTAATGAGATCTGCTGCCCTCTTCTGGCCTTGCAGGCATATATGCAGGCAGAACACTAAATATAATAAATTTTAAAAAGCACACAGTTTCTACTGGGCACAGGGGGACCTCTCCCTTGCTGCTTTCTGAGGATTTTTTTTCTCTTTAAATCATTTGATTTTTGTGATTGTATGTGTGTGTTCTACTTGGAGTTTCTTTTTTGTTGTTTTTTCGAGACAGGGTTTCTCTATGGCTTTGGAGGCTGTCCTGGAACTAGCTCTTATAGACCAGGCTGGTCTCAAACTTATTTGGGGCTCCTTGACTGTTGAACTTAATTGTCTTTGTGACAGATGGAACACTCCCAGCTGCAGTTCCACTCTGGTGGGACTGGCTTGGTCTGCTGGCCCCCGGGTCGCTTCTCTCCGCTTGTCTTCAGGCTTATTTCCTGCCCTGCTTGGGTTTGGGCAGATCTCTGTTGACTAACCTTCCCTATGGCGTCTAAGATGCTGATGCTTAAGGCCAAGGATCTTATTTCAGTTTTGGCCCTAGCCTTCCCTTTCTCTGACAATCTTACTCTTACGCTTTAAATCCGTGGGCACTGGAGTATGCATGGGCTTCTGCCTGCTCTGTTATCTGTGTCATTTCTACATCCATTTCTGGAGATTGGTTGTGTGTGTGTGCAAGTATGATTGTGCATGTACATGCACGTGTGCTGTTGTGCACATGTGGAGGTCAGAGGACAGCTTGTGGGAACTGGTTCTCTCCTTCCACTGTGAATCTTAGGGTTCAAACTCAGGTCGTTAGGCATGGCAGTTAGAGACTTCCCCTCTGAGCCATCTATTGGCCCTGACCAGTTTATCCTGTGCTTAGGAGACATCGTGTCCTGGGACGAGAATGCTGCAGGTTGGGGGGACACTGACTGTCTTTGCTGACGTGAGCCCCATTCTGTACCTTCTGAGGACATTTTGTTCCTCCTTCCACACAGGGCTGCCTTGTGGGTTTATCTGACCTTCTCAATCATGGAGTAGGACCAAGGTAGGGCTGAGTCCACTTCTGCTCAGGTGTGGCTGCCCTGGGTCCCTGTTAAATGTCCCGTGTGGGCAGGGTGTTGGTGGTGCACGCCTTTAATCCCAGCACTCGGGAGGCAGAGGCAGGCGGATCTCTGTGAGTTTGAGGCCAGCCTGGTCTACAAAGTGAGTTCCAGGACAGCCTCCAAAGCTACAGAGAAACCCTGTCTCGAAAAACCAAAAAAAAAAAAAAAAAGTCCCGTGTGCCCAGAGTGTGACCAGAAAGCTCTAGGGAAACCAGAGTGGCTCCCAAGCTGGTATGAGGTGTGGGATTGCTATCTCAGGTGCCTAGGAATCGTTCCTTCTCAAAAGTTGCTCTTTCTGGTCTCAGCATTTCCAGGTTGGGTTCGGTATTCAGACATAGACCTGAGAGGACCCTGCCCATCATTTCCTTACCTGCATGGCCCTCTTCCTGCAGGTGCTCTGCCTGTCTTGGAGTTTCTGTCCTTGGCGGCACTGCTCTGTCAGGGCTCCTTCTTGGGGTGTTGCAGTCAGAATTGCTTCCAGGTATATACCCTAGAGGATATTGCTCCTGAGGGCCGGGACAAGGCTTACACTGTTGGTTCTCCTGTAGGAATGCAAAAGGGTCATTCATTCTAGGTCACTTTGCTCCATCCTGAACAGCCAGGAGCCTGTGCTCTTGAACTTGAATTTTCACTCTCCCTGGGCTGTTTCCTTTGAATTCCTGGGGAACCCCTTCCGCTCTGTTGTTCATGGGGTTGTTTTGTCTGAGTATGAGGCTCATTGAAGGTGACCTTTTAATGAACTGCTGCCCCCCATTTTAACTTTTTTTTGTTTCTGTTGTGAAAACTGCTAGAGCTTCACCCACCAAGTCTCCCAGAGCTGCCTTTTTTTAATTTTTTAAGGGAATTGTTTGTTTTTTTGAGACAGGGTTCCTTGCTGTCCTGGAACTCTGTATACCATGCCGGCCTCGAACTCACAGAGATCCACCTGCCTCTGTCTCCCAGATGCTGGGACTAAAGGCTTACACCAGCACCGCCTGGTCCCAGAATTGCTTTTAATGCACATACTTGCAGTCACATTGCCAGCGTTTGCTCTTGGTTCCCCAGACTGGCATTATGAAAGGTAGCTCCCACCACTCTTGTTTTAGAGTGAGTGGCCTGTTGGTAAGCAGGGAACCAGAACGAAGGATGCATGCTGGGAATACCTACAGAAGGATGGAAGGGAGGGGCAGGGAGACTGGCGTCCTGTGAGAGCCACTGGGCACATGCGTGTTATCCTACCCTGTGAAATGAAAGCTGAGTGGCTCTCAGTGGCTCACTGTACGCTTTGTCAGTTTTTGAAGCAGAAAATTAGAAGCCCTACATTGCTATCACAAATTTCTGGTTCCAGAGTCAAAGTGCTTAAAAAGTGGGTTCCTCAGACACAGTCCTTGGTGGGGAGAGGGAAGTGCTGGAGGCAGGAGCTGGGGAGCCAGAGCAAAGCCCCACCAGGACACTGGGGCTGTGCTTCCCAGAGAGTCCCTGTGTGTCAGCTTGGGCAAGGACAATGGCAGAGGTAAGAACTGTGTCTCTGGGATTAGCCGTCTCCTAAGTCTTGTCCTTTGAGGCCACTGGCACGTACAGACCATGGATGTGTTGGGTTATTTTCTATCGCTATGATAAAGACCATGACCAAAACCAACTTGGCAGGGGGTTATTTAATCTTACAGCTTATGGTTCATCA